GCCGCCTAGAGTGGTCCTGACCCGACCAGATAGGCGGGATATAAATGAAATAAATAAATAAAAATAAATAAATATATGAATAATTCCTATATAGACAAACAAGAAAAAGAAAGCTTTTCTTAACACATTAGAAAGTTGTGTGCTTGGCAACGAAAGTCAGCTGTCCTTGCATTCTGCAGAGATTTTCCAGGGAGGAGGTGTATCTTTCCATTACTACAATACCAATAGAAATCTTTAAGGAGAAAATACATGTTTTTGGATTACAGCTCCCATAATCCCTCAAATGATGTCACAAACAGCCTTGCTGGTTTAGGGTTTCTGGGCATGGTGGCCCTAAAATTAACTGTTGCATGACCTTTATTCAGCTGTGCGTGAGCACAGTCCCTTTGTTAATGTGCACATCTTACAATCAAACTATGAAATTACTTCACAGATCACTATTGAGAAAAGTAAGCTCAATTGTATATTCATTTTTTTTCTTTTTGTTCTGCAGGGAAGGTGCGAAATCAGAAACACAAATGACTTCTGAAAATGTAGCGTGTGCTACCTTCATGTTTACCAGATGGAAAAAATTCTCAACGGCCCCTGTTACTGTATTTATGGGGAATGTTATCATGTACTTTGCCTTTCTCTTTCTCTTTACTTATGTCTTGTTGGTGGATTTCAAGCCTCCTCCTCCAAAAGGTCCGTCCATACAGGAAATTGTGCTTTATTTTTGGGTATTCACATTGGTCTTAGAAGAAATCCGACAAGTAAGTAGTCTACTGTGCCTAAAGCTATTCTGCTGTTTCTAGAAGCATAACAGAGGTCCCATTCCTGGACATGCCAATCTTGCATGTGTATGTGTGGAGGGCAGAGCAGGGGGTGGAAGGGAGACTGTATCCAGAACAAGGAATAAGGGATCGCGCACACACATGCACACATACAACCATACATTCAGGGCTAGAAATAATGCACTTAGGGCAATGTTTAATTTGGCATTCAATGGAAAATTAGGAGCTTTAGGACCCAGAAAACTGTATACCTCTGACAAAAAAGAATGCATTCACTCTTTTATCCTCTTCATGCCCATTCCTCCCCCTTTCCTTTCAAGTGGATCTGTGCTGCTCCAGTACACTGACTTACAGCTCTCCATGGGCACTAATTCACAACCAGTCCGCTAGTGGCCAATTTCTTATGACCATCTGGCCACAGGGAAAGTAGAACTTGGATTGGGCCCAACTGTTGTGAACACAGCAATTGAGGTGTAACAGGGAAATGCTTAGCTTAGTCCATACCGAGTTTCACATTCATTAGGAGCCATGGGTAACGCCTCCTACTGAGCACAGCTTTGCTTGGATTCTGACATGCTTCCACAAATATGCCTTCTCAAGCATTTACTGTGCTATGTCAAAAACAGATTAAAACGAATATAAAGTGGCGGAACACAACTTTCTCACCTTGTGCTTGTTTAAATAAGGAAGCATCTTATGTGTACCAATGCTTGTTAGAAAAGGGTTTTTTTTTAGTAATTCAGATATTCAATTAATATAATTACATGCCATGAAGTCAATTCCAACTTATGGTGACCCTCCTTCTCATGGGATTGTGCAGCTTGCCCAAGACTGCACAAGTGGCAGAGCACAGGGGCCCATTATAGCTATGCAAAACTGGCTGCTCTTCGCTGGCTCCTTCTGTGGGAAGTCGGGCTCCTGATCCCTGGCTCCTCAGGGTTTCTACTCACTGAGCTAAACCCATATATATATTCTGATATTTAGAGGTCTTTTTAAAAAGGTGATCTCACTTGACACAGCAGAATAGTATTCCTGCTACAGGATAGTTCTGGAAAGCTAAGTTAGTGTGTGCAGTGTAACAGCTTACTGTTATTAACCTACAGAGTTTTTTCACTGATGAAGATACACATTTAATGAAAAAATTCAAGCTGTATGTAGAAGACAACTGGAACAAGTGTGATATGGTGGCTATCTTCTTATTCATCTTTGGAGTCACCTGCAGGTTTGTGGTTTTCAAGAGCGTTTTTAATAATTTTGTTTTTAAATATGAGGCCACAACACAGAGTTGGTAGAAGGAGATACAATATTTTAGTAAGAATAGGTCTGAGAAGGCAATAAACTAGCTAGGGTTGCAACATCTCGACCATAAAAAAATATCAACATTTTAGAACCATCCCTGACCTTGAAAAATGAGTAAATAGGGAAGTACAATTTCACCTTGTATATAATATAAGAATTTAGGGGTCCTTAAAGATGTTCAGTCAATTCAAGTCTTATAATATGGTAGTTGTTGTGGTTATTAGCATGACAACATTTTAATGATTTTTTAAAAATTGCCATATTGTTACATGTTATACTCAGCTAAGAAAATATTTCTTGGATATTTATTCATTCCAGTTTCACTCTTCACATGAAACCTAGGGAAGTTAACAATCTGAATAGGAAAAAACAATAAAATCTATAAATCAAACACCTTTTAAAACCTCAACATTCATTATGTATCAGAATTAAAGACATGCAGATAAGAGGCAACAAAAGCAATGAGTTTTTTTCCCAATGATTTACAGACTATTTAATGTGAGTTCTAAGTGATGGAAATCTATTTGCATATATGATCCCAATAGTAGGGTTGCTGTAATAGATTATTTTCTGAAGGGAGACCATTCATATTTTCTTCTTGTTTCCATTTGCCCTAGAATGTTTAATTCAACATTTCAAGATGGCCGTACAATACTGGCCATTGATTTTATGGTGTTCACCCTCAGACTGATTCATATTTTTGCCATTCATAAGCAACTGGGGCCAAAGATAATCATTGTGGAAAGAATGGTAAGTACAACCTTTCAAAGAGAGGGAGAGATGAAAACAAATTGGGTTTCCTCCAGACTTAACCGCACTTACCAGACAGCTAGACAGATAAAACCTTTACTGTGCAATCAACAGATCATTGCAATATTAAAATAAGATTAATACCCCAACTTAGTACGTCAATATCATACCATAAGTACTTATCAACAAATATAGTATGAAGTAAAAATAATACTGATATTTATACATAAAATTAAACTATAAAATAGCATAATTGTTTGATTATTTAAACCAATTTAATTAGGGACCTCAGATAAGTACGATGATACATCTTTAAATTTTTTGCCATATAACATTTGACTGATGATCTCTGGGATTGTGTTCATACCTCTGAATCTTTATGACAGTTTCCACCAATATTATCCAAATACTTAGCTCTACATATAGTGGCTTTGACAGCTAATATTGCAATTCTATTTATAACATGTAATTTAGATGTTTCCAATCAATAGCTGAATTTCTCTGAGTTGCTCCTAATTTTTATTTTGTTTGAAAAAGACCATAAATATTTTTCTGACACATCTGCATATAAAGGGCATTCAAGCCCATTATGAGCTAGGTCTTCAAGAACCAGGTTTCCACATACACACAATCTGTCTTCTCTTGAGATGCCCTGAAACCTACCCCAATTCATCACGTTATCCATTCATCATGTTATCCATTGACCTTAAACGTGTGTATGCTTTTCTGTATTGCACTTTCATTGGGACTTACTGTAAGCTCATTGAAATAAATGGGGCTTACATTAGTCTTAAATCTGGATCCAGCTACTCTCACTTGACTGCTAGATCTCCATAGATATACATTGGTAGGCAAGCAAGCACAGAGGGTTAACCTAACATGGACCTCACCAAGCAAGCAAAAGAAGGCCATAAAGATGGGGGCCGGGAGGTAAAGAATCAGACCTCCCATATTCCTGGGCTTCAAATCTATTATGCAAATATTATTCAAATTAAACATGTTCATGTGAAAATATGTAAATTTACATATTTTGCCATATTAGGCATATTTATGTAGTTTGCCAATTAATGTAGATTTTTCCTATTATGGAAATTAAGCACATTAATCATTGTGCTTTTTCTGCCTCAAGGGTGGCATAATTCATATACTAACCACAGCTCTGGGGGAACTACAATAAGGTAATAATCAGAGCACTGGAATTGGAAAAGGAAAATCCAAGTTCAAATCTCTGCTTGGTTGTAAAGTTAATTCAGCGTATTATGGCAAATCATTTCTCAGTTAATCCTAACTTTACAGAGTTGTTGGCATAAAATGGGGAGAAAAGATTCATTAAAAAGTGATTGTGTATATGTACTGTATTCCTTGTACATATTCCTCCTGCAATACAGTAAAAAGGCACTAGGTGGCCTGCTGAAAATCTGGGTAAAACCTGACCAAGTGGGTAGTTTGGGAACCTTAAGAAAAATAGTTCGATAAACTGGTCCAGTTATTGGACTGATGTTATGCCATATTCTACAATTTGGAATCTGCTCTTCTCCACAACTATCACTAATAAAAGATATGAAATACAACTTGCATAACTACATGCACATGGCACCCTTGAACCCACTTAAAATATGGAGGAAATATTTCCTTGTATCATTATGGTGTACATGTATCATGAATTTGTCCTCCCAGCCAACTTGAGCCCCAGTTTGGTGTGGAAAAGGCATCTGACACAAAATTTGAAAATTTCTCTTTTATTTGCCTGTACTTGTTTCTGACTTCAAGTCTGTCTTCCACAGATGAAGGATGTTTTCTTCTTCCTTTTTTTCCTGAGTGTGTGGCTCATTGCCTACGGTGTGACCACACAAGCCTTGCTCCATCCTGATGACAGCCGAGCTGAATGGATCTTCAGAAGGGTGCTCTACCGTCCCTATCTTCAAATATTTGGTCAGATTCCACTGGATGAAATAGATGGTAAGTTTAGTCAACACGTCAGTACTGCCTCTCTGTGGGATGAGAAGAGGTCTGTTCCCTTGGTCCACTTGCCACAAACGAAGCCAAAAATACTTTCACTCGAGTACACAATCACCCTTTGTTCAAGATGAAAGGCATTAAAAAAACTAAAATAGGGGGAAAGGAGATAGCTCAGTGGCCTACATGTGGTAACATGGGATTTGCAGACAGATTTCAAAAAAAAAAAAAATAAATAAATAAAAAAATGCCTTGGGACCCTTCTCTGCCTTGAATATCAGTGGTGGGTGGAAATTAGATTAAACTAGGCCCAAACTAATTTCAGGTCATCTATTCTAACTATGACTGAATCTGATTCCAGCCCTATACCTGGTACAAAAAGACACCTTTGATACTTACTCTGTCCATGGTGGCAAAGTGCACCATTAATTGCCCCCTCTTATTCATACTAAACTCAAAAAGGCATGAAGGCCAGTTTTTGTCCCCAGCCCCCTCTGTAGGCCAAATGGAACCCTAAAGTGGCCATTTTGGCCATTTAAAAATATTCAGGAAGTGCCTTCATGAGCACTTCTGGTTTCGAGAGGGGGTTGAGGGAGCTTTGGGGACCCCAACCCTATTCTATGAAGTGAAAAATGGTGCTTGGCAACCTCCAGGAGTGAAAACCCATAATTTTTAGTTTTGGTTTTTTTTCCCCAAAAAGGGGAAGCTTGTTTTCCTACGATGGCTTTAGCTGTACTGAGAACCTTTGTCTTTCTCTATTTTTTTAAAAAATTGCTGAATTAAATCCCAGCCCTTTCAAGTGAAAATGCTGTTGTTCTGCTTTTGGGTGGATGAAAATAAAACTTCTTTGGAAAAGTCATTATAGACAAGCCCTGCATTTGAAAGTTGTTCTCAATACCAGCATTTTAAAAAAACCTATAGATTTGTTTTGACTTCACTACAGCATCTCGCATGAATTTTGGAAACTGTACATCCAATCCAGAGGAAAGCCCATTGGAGAAGTTCTTTTCTTGTCCTAATGAATATGCTAATTGGCTTGTCATCGTTCTCTTGGTCGTTTTCCTGCTGGTTACAAACGTGCTGCTTATGAATCTCTTAATTGCCATGTTCAGGTGAGTATGAATTCATAGAATCATAGAAAAGTGAAGTTGGAAGAGGCCTACAAAGCCATCAAGTCCAACCTCCTGCTCAAGGCAGGAATACAATCAAAGCATATCTGCCTGGTGATTATGTATGTTTTTCTTCAATGACTCTAGTGTTGGAGCACTCACCAACTCCCAAGGTAACTGGTTCCACTGTTGTACTGCTCTAGCAGTTAGACGGTTTTTCCTGATATTCAACCGAAATCTGGCTTCCTTTAACTTCAGCCCATTGTTGCATGACCTGCACTCTGGGATGATCGAGAACAGACCCTGCCCCTCCTCTGTATGATAGCCTTTCAAATATTTTTAAAGTACTATCATATCACCCCTCAGTTTTCTTTTCTCAAGGCTACACATGCCCAATTCTTTCAGCCTTTCCTCATAAGGCTTGGTTTCCAGCCCCCTGATCCTCCTTGTCACCCTCCTCTGAACTTGTTCCCATTTGTTAGCATCCTTCTTGAAGTGTGGTGTCCAGAACTGGACACAAGACTCAAGGGGAGGCCTCACCAGTGCAGAATTCAGCCATAATGAAGTGAAAGGAGACAACCTATCGGTAATGGATCTTCCACACAACCATTTTTGACTAAATATATTAAGTACACCATCACAGGTCAGGTACATTTAAGACCTGTTAGAATACATGGGAATAAATACATTAAACAAACAGGATGTTTGTTTAATTGTGATGCAGTTCACTGGAACTGAGGTGCTTTGAGCTTTCTTGAGAGAAAAACTGCCGATGCCAACAGAACAATTCTCTCAGGCCATTTAAAATAGCATTGCTTGATTTTGGCCGAGTCCGACAGGGCTGGAAAAGATAATTGCTCCCTCCAGTTATCATGAAAAAACAACAAAGGAAGCAATTTGTTCGTTTCTATTCTTTAATTCATTTCAATATGCATAAATTATTAGCAGTGGGGAAAGAACTCAAGAGATGTTGCTCATTTGCTGAGTGTACAGGAAGAGTCTAATATCTCAAGAACATGAGTGGAGAAATCTCAGCATTAATCCTGATTCAGTGATGTGAGAATGTCATATTTGATAAATAAAACAATAATTTAAAAATCAGCATCACAGTAAGACTGCACCCATTTTGCGCTAGTTCATTTATGTATGGGGTCAGCAAATTTAATAATGCTACCCTTGAAAGTAGAGGGACATGGTGGCGCTGCAGGCTAAACCGCAGAAGCCTGTGCTGCAGGGTCAGAAGACCAAGCAGTCGTAAGAATCCAGCTTGAATATCAGGTATTTCTCCCTCCATATAAGAAAAAAGCCTTTGTTGCAACACCTTGAATATAACTTTGCTTGCATGGAAAATTAGAACAATGGTCCTGTAGTTACTACATTCTTTGGTGTCATGACCATCCTACAAGCTAACACCACTTGTGTCAGTATCCTGTCGCTCACCATCAATCTCTGACGTGCCTCTCGTGTGTACCTAGATTATGTACCCAATCTCAGGCACCCACTACATCCTTTACTATGCTGCCACCAGTTGATCTGTTAACAAGCTATGTTTACTGTGAAAGACTGGGGTCCATTCAGTACTTAACTTTGAAATAAAACTCCCAAAACTATCTCTCTATCCGCTCAAACTCTTCACTTCAGCCCCCCTTCTATGTAGCTGGCTCCACCTCCCAACAGCCCCCTATTGGTTCTTGCAAATGGCCTGCTGGATATGCATGACAAGGTGACTGCTACACTTGGCATCTTGTTTCTTGAGGACTGGAGTGTATATTGAAATTTTCAAGTCTGTTGATTGTTGTTTTGTTTTTCATATTTGTTGAGATATTCCTGTTAGGATTTTGACAGATTCATTCTTTCTGGCTTGAAATAGTTCTTTCACTATCCTATCTACCCCTGGTGATTTATTTCTTCCCAGTGCTTTCAGAGCAGCTTTCATTCCACTTTCTATAATTACAGGTTCTTCCTCATAGGACAGTTCTTCAATGGAGTCTGTCATCCTTTTATCTCTTTTGTATAAGTCTTCAGTATACTATTTCCACCTTTTATTTATTTTCTCGTAGTCAGACAGTGTTGTTCTCTGGTTATTCAGCATTCCTAATCTAGTCTTAAATTTCCCTTTGATTGCTTGGATCTTCTGAAAGAGATCTCTTGTTTTTCCCCTTTTCTTGTTCTGCTCAACTTCCTTGCACTGCTTAGTGCAATAGTTCTCTTTGTCTCTACACGTGAGATTCTTCTGGTTCATGGGCAGTTGAACTTAGCAATGCAAAACTGTTCCTTTTGTGGACTTTAAATTCATCAGGAATATTGTTTAAATTGTTCATAAACAAGTTTATGAACAAGAAAGTTATTTTTATTGTAACACAATAGGTATTGTTCAAATAAAAAATAAAAAAGGAATAATGTTTAAATTATATTTTGGCACTATGATTCTTTTAGTGTTCTTTTCCAGCTTTACTCCAATGTTGGATATTAACAGTACATGACCAGAACCACAGTCTGGTCCTGTTCTTGTTTTAACAGAAAAAAGACAGCGTCTCCATCTCCTGCTTCCAATTACACAGTCTATTTGATTTCATCTGGTCAGGTCCACATGTACAATTGTCTGTTCGGCTGCTTGTAGCATGTATTTGCAACAAACAGATTTTTGGATTAATTGTCTGGCTTTGTTTCTGTTCTCTAGACCAAACTTTCCAACATCATTTGGTTCTGCTTTGTTTCCTTCCTTTGGCTTAGAGTCACTTATGATTATAACAAAGTCTTGTTTGATATGTGATCAATTTCCTTCTGAATTCTTGCACTAAAACTTTCAATTTCATCTTCTTCAGCATCTTACAACAATGTAATTGGAGCATACATTGAATGATGGTAATGTTGATAGGTTTTCCATAAAGTTAATATTATCCAGCATTACCCAATCAGACTTTATGTTATAACCCCTAACTGCCTATGCTACATCTTGTCTCAGTATTAGAGCCACTCCATTTCTTCTGAGTTTGTCATTTCCAGAATAAGACCATTTGTAGCAGTCTGACTGAAAATATCTGCTTCCAGTTCATTTTAATTCACTGACACTAAGCAATGCAACAGTTGAACATTCCATGTATTGCTTCATGATTTCCAGTTTATCCTGCATCAAATTTGTCATGTCCCATGTTCCACTTGTATGTGTTGTGCATGGGAGGTAGTCTCACGGTTCAATGGCCATTAAATATTTTATGTTTTCAATAGAAAAACTAGACTAAATTGTTAATGTGACACTTCTTTTCAGTTACACTTTCCAGGTCGTTCAAGGAAATGCAGACATCTTTTGGAAATTTCAGCGCTATAATTTGATTGTCGAATATCACGGTCGCCCTGCCTTCCCCCCTCCTTTTATCATTATTGACCACATTAAGCTGTTTCTTAGATGCATTTTTAAGAAGATGGACCACAAAAAAGAATATTTAGGTAAGCTCTACATTAAAAGATAGTAGGTAAAAGATGTTTGAAACAGTATGATACAGATTCACACATGCAGGATGATTCACAATTATGGCTGCAATCCTCTTGGAGAAGCTGCATGGTATAATGCTGATGATGCCATCAACAGGCTACATAAATACTTAATTTAATTCTACCTAGCCCCCACCCAGGTTCTGAGGCTCCTTAGGGTTCCCTTTCAATCTGGGGAAGTCTTTTGGACCTGAGTGAGGAATCTTTAATATCTGAAAATCACCAATACTGGTGGTTTTTATAATATTTAAGGTCTTCCCTGACCTAAATGACTGAAAATTACTTTTCAAAATTGGTTCTGTGTATTGTACTTAAATATTGCTCCTGTGTAATTAATTCTGATTTCATTACTGAAGGAGATGGCCATAATATTAGACATTACTGCTATATATTCTAAAAACTGAGGATCATTATGGAAGCTGGCTTGAGTGAAATTGATTGGTTGCATGGCAAACCCAAATAGCTAGGCTCTGCTCTACCGGTGTATTCTTCCATATGTGCCTGGGCATGTCCCTTGCCATCACCCAGCCAAGATATAAATATTTGGATCCTTTCTCTTTTGTAGAACGAGATCTGCCAGAAGGCCTGGATCAAAAAATCATAACATGGGAAATGCTAGAAAAGGAAAACTACCTGGCAAATCTGGAAACAAAGAGAAAAGAAAGCAATGAAGAAATGCTAAAGAAAATGGCAGACAAGTAAGTGCCTGGTTCAAGACGTCTGCATCTATAGTTTGATGCTTGTTGCAGACTGTAATGTGTTGGGGATGGGAAGAAAACATCCGGTACTCTATCAGTATATGGGGAACTAAGCAGGAGAGTTAGGAAAGCAGACAAGAAGAGAAGGTAGTGGCCCACCAGGAAGGTCCACATTAAGGCAGCAAGTACCAGGTAGTGACTCCCCATTGCCCAACAACAGTATATAGAGAGAGACACAGCAGAAGGGCAGGTAAGGTGGGAGTTTAAATAAAGTTATTTGCTTAATGTAACTCCTGCTTAATTCTTAATAGCAAGAAACATAATTAAAAGACACCGCTTGTCCCACCTCATGTTTGCACGTTGTACTGCATGAAATGCACCACCACCCCCATCTTGCTCCAATACTGGATTATTCCCCAATCCACCATTTTTGTTTTTATATGTTCATTATTTTAATTCTGTTTGTATATTTACGTTCTTTTTTGGAAGCTGCCCAGAGTAGTGGCTTGTCCACTAAATGGGCAGGGTATAGGTCAAAACAAAATAAAATCAGATCAAAATGTAAAAACAAACTAGCACAAGCTTCCTAGCCAAAACCATGCCTGTCTGTTTAGTAAACATCCGCATGTCTGTGATGCAGGGACCGATTAGTAAATTCTGCAGCTCTCTAAAGCGATAGCTGTGGTACTGCAAAATATGACACATTTACTTGGAAAATAGCCTTTGTGTTAAAAAAAAAAACCTATAGGAACACACCATCACATTAATTCAAGCCTTTTTCTCTGCAAATCTCTTGGACCATATATTTATAAATGTAAAAGTCACAAGTTCTTAATTGGTGGTCCCTGACTCAGACTCTGAATGAATCATCCAATGGAACCAGCACATGGAGGCCACTGGAGGATTTGCAACATGGCATGAGTTGTTTCTTAAGTGGTTGTATAAATGTGGATGTAGGCATATGACCACTTACAGATGGCATGCTTATACAGTAATTGCACATAATAAAGGGATGGAAAACGGCAGGTACAAACACTTGGGCCTCACGAGTGGACTAGGCAGATGTGAGTTGTGCCTGAAGATGGGTAGATGGGTGTCTTTCGGACTTATGCACATTAACTGATGTGCTTTGAAGAAAAAGATTTTAATCCCTACTACTTTTCCCAGTATCTGATCCTGTGCAATAAAACCAAAGGATAATGTCTCAAATATATCTCATACTCTAATCCATGTATGGTCCAAGGCAAGGACTCTTTTATTGTCAAAGTTTCTTCACTTTTTTCCCCTAACAAAACAGGGTGAACAATCTTTCAAAGAATTTTAGTGGTCTGAAAGAACAAGAAAAACGACTTAAATCACTGGAATCACAAGTAAGAATTCTACTCTCTGTCTCTTTCAGCCACATTCCTATACACTAAAATGTTTAGTGCATGATAAATTGCATGTTTCTCATATACGTAGCATATTCTAAAAAGCTTACATGGACAAAATTGTACTTGTTTCTTTCATTAGAAATTAAGCCTTTATCACCTACTATCTGCTCAAAGATTTTCTCCTGTCTTGTTTAATAAAAAATTATTTAACTACCTTTTAGTGGAGGATAAATTATAGTTTTTAACTACAGATTTCACTGACCATGACAGATAACGTACAGCAAAAACTATCTCTCTGTTACTCACATCAACATTTTTGTTCCTTTCACACAATCAACTCTTCCTTCGGATCTTTCTGGTGGGGAAACTAATATAATTTTTGTTTTGTCTTCATTTCCTGTTTATAATCTTGCTAGGGATTATTAACCCCACCCAGTTCCTGTTAATGTTTAAATAAGAGTGCGGATACATCAATTTGCCTTTTAAATCTTATTTCACCCAAAAGACACTTCAGTTCTGTATGCCACCACAGAGTGCTCTATGACCCAACAGAAGGGTTGAGGACAAACATTAACAGTACAAAACTGCCCTCTATTCAGAAACAAATCCCTTTGAGTTCAACAAATTACTTCCAGCTAGAGATGGGAACGAAGCGCTAAAATGGTGCTTCATCTTGGTTCATGGGTCGTCAAACCTGATGACCCACAAACCACGAATTGCCCATCAGTGACCTGAGGAACAATGAATGAATTCACCATTCACCAGGTCAATATATATAAATATATACTTGCTTTCTCTCCTATGGCTATGCCCCACAAGGTATGGCAAGAGCTTTGATCCCTTTTCCCCTCCTCTTGCTAAGCCCCACGGGACATAGCAAGAGGAAGGAAAGCAGGGATCAAAGTGATTGTGTAGCCACTGCGGCAGAATTGCTTTGATCCCTCTTTGCTCTCAAAGCAATCCCACGGCACATTAATCTCTTTTCCCCTCCTCTTGCTAAGCCCCACGGGACATAGCAAGAGGAAGGAAAGCAGGGATCAAAGTGATCGTGCAGCCACGGCTGCAAAATTGCTTTGATCCCTCTTTGATCTCTCCCCTCCTCTTCTTATGCAGTACAGTGGTGCCTCGCATAACGAGTGCCTCGTATAGCAATGAATCCACATAGCGATCCCTTTTCTGGGAGCGCTAATGCGGAGGCATCGCGTCGGCCCCAATGGGCGAAACTCGCATAGCGAAGATCAGTAAGCATTTCGCTTACCGATCTTCACTTTGCGACGCCCGAAAATCAGCTGTTCGGCGGCTCCAAAATGGCCGCCGGACGCCCAAAATGGCCACGCGCAGTGTTTTCGCGCCCTCCCCTCGCTTACCGAGGGCACGAAAATGGCTGCCGGACCCAGGAAACTTCGCTAAACGGTGAGTTTTCAGCCGATTTGGAAATGGCTTTTTACTTTCCATTTAACGAAGTTTTCACATAGCGAAGGTTAATCCGGAACGAATTAACCTCGCTATGCGAGGTACAACTGTACAAGCATAGGAAAAGGAGGAAAGGGGAGCCAAGCCATCCCCAGCCCTGGGGGTGGGATTCCCTTTGGACAGGCTTTAGCAAGCCACCTGGAGGAAAAACCCCTCTCTGCTTATGCCCCCGAGGAACAGCTGATCCACTGTGGCATAAGCAGATAGGGAACGAAGGGACGAATATAAAAGGGTTATATTGATTGCTTTGTATTTGTTGGGGTCTCTGGATCCCAAGAATAGAAAGCAACGAATATCTGACAAATCAGGGATAATTAATGAATATCCTGATTCGCTTTTATATTCGTCCCCATGTCTGCTTCCAGCTAATGTGTAACTGTAACCTCAGGGAAATAAACTTTGCTGCAGATTAGTAAGTATTGTCTTTAAAATACAGTGGTGCCTCGCTTAACGGGTGCTCCGTTTGATAACGAAATCGTTAGATGTCGATGTTTTTGCGATTGCAAAAGCGATCGCAAAATGATGTTCCCTATGGGGGAATTTCGCTTTGTGATGATCGGTTCCCTGCTTCGGGAACCGATCATTGCAAAGCGATGATTTTCGGCCAGCTGATCGGCGGTTTCAAAATGGCCGCCGGGTAAACAAAATGGCTGCCCGCTCTTTTCTGGCATGGATTCCTCGCTGCACAGGCAGCGAAAATGGCTGCGCTATGGAGGATCTTCACTGGACGGTGAGTTTCAAGCCCCTAGGAACGCATTAATCGGGTTTTAATGCATTTCTATGGACTTTTAAAAATTGCATTGTTTTCATTTTACAGCGATTTCACTGGAACGAATTAACTTTGTAATGCGAGGCACCACTGTATTGCTACCTAAGTCAATGTGAATAGCTTTAATAAACTGTACCACAGCTGTAACACAAATGCTATGTTTGTGTAGTAAACACTTTTGCCTTCAGATACCTTTTTTTGGTAATAACATGTTGTGAATGGCAATGAAAAATGTACTAATGTTGAAACAATTTACTTTGTAGATTAGCTACTGCACAGCTATCCTTTCATCGATGGCAGATACCTTAACCAAGAACAGCTTATTTTCCAACACACCGACTCTGAACTATGCGTGTGAGTAACATGCAATCATATAAAAATATTATTTTTTAGACAAGTGAAAGTTAAACAGTAGATTATGCAGTAATAGTCATAAATCCCAGGAAACACTACTTGCCACTCTAATTTATCAGAACTTTGTCAAGGGTCAAGTCTCTGTAGGCTTCCTTCAGTCTCAAGAGACTATGGTAACGTGCTCTGAATAAAGGTCTTGGAACACTGTCTAGTGTGGCTGAGAAGGCCAATTCGAGAGTGACAATCCCTTCCACACTGAAATACAATCTATCCCCTGTCCAGCTCGATTTTACTGGTTTTGGGAGTGCCTCTTTGCCTCAGCCTGCAACAAGTGCCTCTTCAAATTGGGAGAGGCCATGCTGTACTGCCGGCCTCCAGGCTAAACGCTCAGATGTCAAGGTTTCCCATCCGTTGAGGTCCATTCCTAAGGCCTTCAGATCCCACTTGCAGATATCCTTGTATTGCAGCTGTGGTCTCCCTCTGGGGCGATTTCCCTGCACTAATTCTCCATACAGGAGATCTTTTGGAATCCGACCATCAGCCATTCTCATGAATGGTCAAGACCCTTTCCTTTTTCTCCTCAATGTAATAACTGAATTATCATGTCTATCCATAGCTTCATCAAATGAATAAACGTCTTTGCTAAATCCAATGCATCCCTTCTTAGGCTGCTGCAGAAAAGCCCATGTCAATGTTTTCCTCAACTGGCATGTTTCTTACTTAACAGAGGAAAAAGAATGGTAAACAACAAGGCCAAGAGCCCAGGAAATGCAAGAAGCCAGGAAAGGCGGTATCACTTATATGCAAAACTCACGTCTATGCAATATAACAAGTGACCAGCTCACAACAGTGGCAATTAGTCAGGTTCTCTTCTAACTAGGGCCGTTTAACAACTGTAGTAAGAAAGAAGCCTACACTTCCTCAAGTAGCTGATGACTCCGCTTTCCATAGTTTTTTGTCTACTTTAAACATTCTCCCCACACACATTTGATACAGTAGGCTCTAATCCAGTGCTTCCTAACTTTGGGTAACTGAGGTATTCTTGGATTGCAATTTCCCAGAAGCCTGTACCACCAACTGTACTAGTCAGGGTTTCTGGGAGTTGCAGTCGAAAAACACCTGGGTTAATCAAGGTTGGGAACCACTTCCCCAGTCTATAAACTCTTATGCTGCAGCCTAAAAACACTACAACCCGATAGATCTTTGGAATGAGTGAGAAATAGAATTCCATCACATATATACCCTGTTTCCCCAAAAATAAGACCTAACCTGAAAATTAGCCCTAGTATGGTTTTTCAGGATGCTTATAAGCCCTACCCCAAAAATAAGCCCCAGTTGAAAGCCCACCCTCCACCGTTGAGCAGCAACCAGAAGATGACATGACTGTGTTAAATAAATGCAGATTGTACATGAAAAAAATAAAAAAATAAAAGATCCCTTGAAAATAAGCCCGAGTGCATTTTTTGAGCAAAAATTAATATAAGACCCTGTCTTATTTTCAGGGAAATATGGTATATATATCTTTTGCATTCTTTGCGTGTCACGTTGTTCACGTGTGTGTGTGTGTGCGTGCGTGCGTGCGTGTACAACATGACATGCAAAGGATGCAAAAGAACTCTGGGTGGTACCCCCCCTTTTTTTACAGAAAGCCAAAAATAGCTTAATAGGATGCTAAAGAAACAGCTTTGTAACTATTTACTTAAAATGAAAGTTTCTCTTGTACTTGTTGATTTAACCAGTGTTTTCATTCTCAACATTTTCGTAGGTTTCATAAACACAGGCACAGAACCAACGGCTGCAACAGAAAGCAGTGAAGATGGTACAAATCAGTTTGAAGACAACCTGATGTATATTGATAACTAACCCTCGCAGCAAATTAAAACATTTTATGGGGTTTTATTTGACTGTTTAGTATACTTGAGGCTATCTTCAATTGTAGAAGATATTTTCATTTAATGACAAAAGAAATGCTATAATTATATACAGCCTGCCTGAATTTAGCATGCATACAGTTTATTAGTCTTATGTGCTTTAACTCTGATGTCATTGAACCATCTACTTCTCAGCAGGCTAAGTTAATTTCTGCTGTTGCTTTATTTCTTAACTTTGCCCCACACATACATTTCCAGGAGTGTGAAAATTCACTCATGTTCAAGTCATCCCAAACCCTATCAAGAACAGTAATCAGAACGTGTCCGAAATTCTTTATAGTGTATTAATGCTCTTTCCTAAAGGTACACAACTACCATTTGATCAAATTCGATACAGTACTGCATAAATTGAATCCAATCTATCCAAAGAGATTTGGAGATGGCCTAAATCAAGCTGTACTTTGGTTTCTGCAAATATTTGTATGTTTCTGGATTGGGAGGGGAAAAATAGGAAAATAACCTGGGGCTGTTGGGATGGTGTGGCGCTCCTTCAATTTTGGGAACATGATGGACTCGCTTGTATGCAAAGCCCTGACCAGCTTGCTTGCTCTTTCACCCCAGGGAGCCATGCTCAAGGAAAATATGTGCTGAGATGTCTGAAAGTTACCAGCTTCATACCTCAGTCAGTATCCAGGCTTTACTCCCATCTGCCCCAGCTACGGTCTATTCCAAAACAGAGAGCTCCATATTTGACACTCATCCACTCTTGAATATACACAGCACAATGATTCTGCAAATAGTACCCAGCATCAGACATTTTAAAAAAGTCATAATAAGTAAAAATAGTGGTGGTTAAGTGGGGAAGATAGTCTTTAGCACTACTTTGATGCATCCAATCAAAGCTCACTCAAGAAAATATGTATCATCTCACATTTACACCCACTCTCAGCCCAAAGTATAATTGAGACTCGGTGTAGCCACCTGAAAGGAAAAACAAAATTGCAGAACAAAGTCAGCCTTTAAAAAAGTGCTCTTCTTCTCAGCCATGCCTGGATGCAAAATAGTTGCTCAGGCAGTGTCCCCTGAGGTTGATCTGAACACTGCCCAGGGTGCAACAGCTGACATTTTTAGGCAGCTTTGCCTTTCATGGGGACCCCAGTTGCCAGTCTTTCTGCTTTGGCACTTCTGTAATTAGTTATTGCAACTCACCCCCTGTATATTTTTCAGACTTCAGCATTTTTACACTCCCAAAATGACTTGTAACGGTGACTTAACCAGTCTGTGTGTGACTGGGTTTTTTTTTTAATTGCTCTGCATCTGCTCCTATAAGATGCAAGTATATTTGCTTTGTCTTGCTTGGAGACTTTTTCATGTACTGCCACTCTTTTCTGCTTTCCTGTTTATGCTGTTCCGCTTAATCTTGGCTCCATAGGCCTAACTGCAAACCAATGTTAGTTCTACCTAGAGCAGACCCACTGAAATCAATGGGGCTTTCATAAATGGTAACCAAGAAGTCCCTTTCACTTTGATGCCTATTAAAATTGGGACTAACATAAAATGCATTCCACATGGTTTCACTGGTATAGTTCCCAAATTATTATTACTCCATGTTCATAACAAAAGCACTTGTCATACAACACCAACTACCCTAGGTTTTTAAAAAGCATTTGAAGTGTTTCAACCTACATGTATATGAAATAGTATACATTGTCTCCCAAGGGTATAAATTCTAATAACTGAATTAAACCTAGGGCTTTATTTTTCCACATATATCCATAACGATTTGAGAAAATACATGTATCCCATGTATATATGGCATTCTATTCATTCTTTCAATTTTTGCATATATTCCTGGGATTCTGAACAGAAGCATCTGTTCATTAAGAACAGAAAGTACTGTAGTAGGAAACAAATTCGATTTAAACACTTGCTAGTATTAGGTATTCTAACTACTAGTATATGGGACATTGAATTTGTGTGTATGAACATATTAGAAAATCAGTATGATTTTGTGGAATAACATTGCTTTGCAAATAAACCATTGTGCTATTTAAGAAAGAACTTTCCATACACAGTATACTACTTTCAGTATATATTACACTGAAATACTACTACTACTACCATTAGGTTTTGATCAAGCACTATTTTCTATCATCATTTTTTACATACAGTACTTAATTTGTTTGCATAAGGCCTCCTGCAGGGAAAAAGTACAGTACTGTACATGTTGCCACATTATTTCTGGTACACCTCCCTATCAACTTCAGCATAATAAGCTGTGGAGCAAGTCTTCTCAGCACAGAGATATTGGGACAGACAAAAATCAAGTTTTGATCAAGCACTATTTTCTATCATCATTTTTTACATACAGTACTTAATTTGTTTGCATAAGGCCTCCTGCAGGGAAAAAGTACAGTACTGTACATGTTGCCACATTATTTCTGGTACACCTCCCTATCAACTTCAGCATAATAAGCTGTGGAGCAAGTCTTCTCAGCACAGAGATATTGGGACAGACAAAAATGCTTCACCTGATGAATCTGTGATAAGTCATGCAAATGTTATGCCTATCAAGGGTGGGGGAACTGTAACCCTGCTTCCCTACACTCCTAGTAAACAGCCACGGACAATAGAAGGAAACAAAAGAAACAAAATTACCATCAAAGGAGACACAACCAAAGATAGGCTTCATGTTATAAAACAAGTAGCTTTTGACCCCCCCCCCCACTCCTTGCACCAAACCTCTGGGGGATGAGAGCAGGTCATATGAAGGTAACAAGAATTCTGGTTATAGAAGAACAGGTTACTTTGAAATAATTTGCTTGGCAAGAGCAACTGGAAGTCTCTCAGTGAGCCATCAGATAAGTTATGACTCTTAGAGCCACTGGTATTCAGCTGAAAGGGCCCATCTTTTTCCCTCCTGAAGTTTATCCCAAAGACAAGGCACACCTCTAATATGTAACTTTAGAAATGTCATAGGTGGCTCCAAAACCATCCTCTTGATAATGACTTTACTCCTGCCTTAAAATTACTTGTTTTGAGATCCAGTTGTAAACTTGTGACACGAATTTGTTCAGCACCAAAATTAATTTTTCGGGATTCTGCTTTTTTCATCTAATGCTTTTACTAGTAAAATTAAACAAAGTGGGAGGCAGTTATTTTTTTATTTGCTACCGTGTGTTCTCCCCCACCAACTGTGTATAAATATGTTAATTCTGATGTAAATCCTGTAAGAGAAAACTTACTGTTTTAGATGGCACTTCTATAATTTTATTTCACAGCTAAAGTTCAACTTATTTTGCTATGAATGATTGCCATCATAAGGCAGAAAAAATGCTGAAAATTAGAGAAAAAATGTGGAAGCTCTGGAGCTCCCTTCCTCAGATAAACATTAAAAACTGTCACATTTCTCCTACAAGATCCAGTTTGATCAAACCTGGCATGATGTTCAGGTTAAGAGGTTTCAGAATATATTTTATAGTGATACTTTTAATTTAATTGTTTGGAAATTATTGTGCCCAGAAACAGATCAGCAGCCCACAGTTACGCATGCCAAATTTGTCTCCTACGTTTGGTGGCTTCAGTAGGGTCTTATGCAATAAAATTGGCTATAAAAACTGTGTGCTGTCAAGTCAATACTGATTTATGACAATACTTTTCAGGGTTTTCTAGGTAGAGGCTTCATCCTTATTTGATATTTAGCACTTCTACATGTCTGAACTCTTGGCAAACAGATTGGTTGTGGCAAAGGGAGAGGAAGTAACACCTCCAAGTGAGCCTGAATGATTACAGTCAATGAAGTATAGCTTAGCAGAAAAACAGATCAACAATTCTCAATGTTGCTTTTTTACAAGCTGAAGCATCTTGATTGTGATAAGAGGAGAGACAAGTGGAAATGTTTATTGGTGTAATGAACAGAATGAGATGGGGAGAGAAATATACTTGCCAAGTCCTAACAGATACAGCCAGTTGCTACAGCAAACAACTAGGAAACAAAGCAAGCAACAATTCAAAATTTTATTCACATCAAAACTACAAAAAGAATCTTATGGTAGATTTCTTCAAAAGCCCATTACTTTACAAACACAGTACACTGATGTAAAATCACTGTACACTACTTACAGAAACAACACTTGGATATGCAGGTGGATACATTACAGTTGCAAGCAAAGATACTGTTATTTGCTGTTGAGAATTCTAGTCCCAGACTTGCCATATAGACACATCTTTTAAAGTCATCTCCCAACACATCTAAGTTTGGTTTTCAAACAATGCATATCATTTTTTTAAAAAACAAGACAACACCTTGTACAATGTGTGTCTATCTTCTGCCTTGTATCACCAAACCACATGGCTTCTTAAAGGCGATACTTTTAGTTTCACTATAGTGGAAATGTATATGTTCAGCTTTTGGTGCCTAACTACATAGATACCAAGACTGATCTTGCACCACACACAGACGTTTGTCCATCATGAGTGATGCAGATTATTTAAAATGGCATTCCATACTGAATATTTAGTATGCTTACTATGGGATACCATTCAAAAGATTTTTGCATGAAAGACTGAGCAAAACAATCTCTCTCCCAAATCTGAACTCAGTAAAATTAAATTATTTGTTCCACATCTTAAAAAAAATCCTACCTTTTCTCCCATGCAGAATCGTCAAAGTCTAGAGATTTTTCGGAAAAAGTAAGTGGAACACATAAGTATTTTAATCACAGCTCCAAGTATGCTAAACAAAATAAGCTATTTGCTAAAACTCATGCAAACAATCAAGGAAACACCTCTAGGAAGACATCAGAATAATTTATGCAGATTTTATGACTCTTCTTCATCTTCATCATGGCTAGTTTTGGGTCGAAAATGTTTCCTGTTCCTTTTCTTGCTACCATGGAATCCCTCGGCTCCCATTCCCTTTTCTTCACTTGCCTCAGAAGAATCAGTGTCAACTCTGTTTTGAATATTTGGCTCCTCCAAGTTCAGCTGCTTCCAATCCTCCAGTTCCTTTGCATCACTGTTGGAGGGATTTCCCCCCTCATCCTGAGTGCTTGGCTTCTTTGGAGATTTCCCTTTTAGCTCCTGGTCTGTATCAATTAGCTTGTTTTCTTCATCCTCCTGTGCATGTGGCCTTTTCCTTTCTGATCTATATAAAGATGTTTTTGTGGGTTTGGTAAAGACGATCCTGCTTGCACCAGAGCTGGAGGCATCTTGATTGAAAGATGGAGTATACCTTTCAGGGCAGGATGAAGTTTGTTCTTCTTTGCTTTTCTTCAAGCCCTCCAGGAACTCCATGGCAATTGATCTGTTGGTTTTCTCACTAGACTCTGAAACATCATCCAAGCTATACTTGGTCCAGCGTTCTGGGTGTGTCACGTAGTCAGGAACAGACGGGGGTCCTTTAAGAGATGGGGGTGGTTTATTTTGCCTTCCCAGGCTTTCTATAGACATCTTGTTAGAAATGTTGGGTGGAGGCAGAGGGCGCTTAAACCTTCCATCAATGACATTGTCTTCAGCCATGGAGGGCACCGTTCGCTTGGCTGCCCCTTCCAGACAGTCAAAAATGCTTTGGCTGCGTTGTGAAAAACTCGAACTCATGCCTTTAAGATGAAAAGGCTGGACGGGTGATTTTCGGTCACTGTGGAGAAAGTCACCATTTTCATCTGACCTCTTCCCCCTGTTATCCAGGGAAAGGGGCTCCTCAGGAGATACAGTACCAGCTTCAATGTCATCTGCAAATGTTAAGTCCTCGGAATCTGAATCACTCAAGGAAACTGTATCTGAGGGAAGGACACCCTCATAATCTGTAGCCCCAGCAACCTCAATACCCAGAAAGGGTTCGCCTGTGGATTTGTCTCCCATCTCTGGATCAGTTATACTCAGCTGCCTTAGATTTCGTTGTAGGCTATTAGGTTTTCTCGTCCAGGTTGTTTACAGCCTACAATAAAAAGAAACAATTAAATTCAGTTGTGAAAAGGATGTTACACGGCAGTAGTTCTGGTCCTTCATTGTAGGCTTCAAAGTGGAATCTTTGCAAGACAAAGAAAGAGAAAAAGAAAACATCATGGGAGGCCCATTGTAGTCTAAACTAAATATTTTGGAGTTCACTTTATTTTTGTAATATTCAGCCACTATAATGGCTAAGTGCTACTCATTATTATGGTCCTCGTCTTTGATGTGACACGGGAAAATTTTCAAAACACAATACTATTCCTACCTAGTATGTAACATTTAGAATTTTGTAAAACACCACATAGGCTACACAGCCCAATCATGGTGCAATGAAATATGCCAAATACTCTCAGCTGAGCATAGATCTCGGTCTCTGAATAAATATAAGATATTATACCTCATTTGAAAGCTAAGGTTATGATCATATTCTGTCAAACCATTTAAGTGTCAATTGTTTGATTTGTCTGGGCTGCCATACAGTGAGGTATCTACGATCTTGCTGTACAAGCCATAATATCTCAGTGGTAATCACTGCTTGAGCAGTGGCAATTCCACATTACTACCCCAGCACAGCTTTTTGTCCTGTTGTTTCAACAGGATGTCCTGCTTCAGAAAAAAAGTGTTCCTTTTTCTGAATGTACAATTGAACCATCTATTTGATAAGCACTCCCACTAATTATGGACCACAACGAATTAGCAGTCCTCATTAAAGCAGTCCTCAATTGATGGGTCTTGCCTACATTTTGATTTTCTCTTCAGCAAGTAATTCAACAGCTGACTGGATAGGTCACTCAGTGAGATAGAATACCTGGCAGCAAGGGCTGTCAGCTCAATTCTCCTCTGTACCTACAGGGAAGAGAGCCAGCTACATAGCCTTGGGCCACCTGCACAGTCCCATAGTGCCTCCAGAAGGCAGTACTGGTAAACCACTCCTGCATACTTCATACATGGGAAAACTCTGAGGAGGATTGCCATGAATCAGAAACGAGCTGAAAACACACAATTATTATTAACAGCTCAGTGGGTGTACTACAACTGGGGTTAGCAAATGAATATAAGCCTCCCATTATTACTTATGGGCATACTATTTTGCAAGATGCTAAAATCTACTGGATTTATACAGTACCTCTCTGTATGCCAAATGACAAGTTGTTTGCGGGAGATTTCTCTTGCAAATAACATGCACTATTTCTTTGCTGTGCAAGCACTCCCATATACTATTTTCCCCCTAAATACATTCACATGCTTAAGAGCACTCCACAGCCCTATAGCAAAGGTTTTCTTGGTCTAGAGAGCGATTTCCCTAGAGGGAAGAATTGTTCTTGACTGAAGCTGCACTGGATCTTGCTTTATGGTGACGGTAAACAGGCATGGAAAAATCTGCTAGCCACTCACCATCCGGAGTCTGAACAAGTATCCCATCCTCTGGGTAATTTAAAGCCACCAAGGTTCTTAGATCTTGTACCCTGGCAGTAAGAGGTTGGACATATCATCAGTGCAAATAAATAACACAAAGCAGTGATTTTTAGTACATCAACAGAATGTGTCCGTTTCACAGACATCACTGCTGATTTTGCAGAGCCATCACCTCACCTACTCAGGTACTGCGTTACTTGACTGAACACAAATGTGTGACTGACAACAGCATTTAAACAGCTACTTTGAAAACAGCAACTAATAAAGACACCAGATTAAATTTCATAATTATAAGAATATCACTTTAGGAGAATGGGAAACAAAAAAACCCAATGTCAGTTCAACAGCTTTCTTCTCTTCAGATGCAAAGACAGTGACCACAATCCTTTCTATTAGTTCTCTCAGTGTAAGTGCAGAGGTGTAAACCACAATGGTGAACTGTTGCTACTTAAGGAGTTGCCATTTCTACGATAACACTTAAACTCAGGCAACCTACATATAATGAGAGACATAAGCAGTGATTAAGAAGGCAAATTTTAATGAGGATATTTCCCCAAGTGAGGCTTTAAAATTCCCCACTGGAAGCAAACAAACAAACAAAAATAAAACAACACTTTTAGAAAGAAGACTCACGAGTTATTTGGAGTGATCTGGGTATTATATAATTCAGATAGGATGACTTCTCTCTGACTGGAAAGGTTCCCATCAGAATCTTCCATACTAGTCTTGGTCCCTGTTTTCCCAACTGCGAAAAAGCCAAAGAGTATATTACTTCTCTTCCTTTAACTGGTACTTGTACAGTAATTCAAGTCCCTGTTTAAGTAATACTTAAGATTTGACCCCAAAGTCATGTTTTCTATCAGGTCAAATCAGCAACCCATACTAACAGAGAGGTAGCCTACTAAATGTTGAATGTTTTCTAGTTTATTCAATCAGAACCTCCTTAACTAGTTACTAGAAGGAGCAGCAGAAAAAAAAAATCAACAGAAAACAAGACAAATGGCATGATCTGTTTCTTCAGGACAAAGCCATCTATCTGCTCCACTACTGCACAGCCTTCAAGCTGCAGAGTGAGAACAGTCAGAAAAGGTGCCCTCTAGAGTAGACTATAACCACCATAGCAAAAAGCTTTAGACAACACACACCAGTATACAGTACTGTAACTACTGATGAATGGCAGGAAGGCTATGGCATAGCATATCAATTCTGTACAGCATGTGAGGTCAATCCCAGGAATGGACATTCTAAAAGCACTATTCAGACAACTCTTCTGAAATAACTGATTGTTGCCTAGCTGAATATTTCAACAAAACTACAATGTTTCTTCTCTTTCTATGTGAGTTCATTTTAACTAAACTAGCCCAGCAGAGGTGCTTCTCTTTCATACAGAGCTGCTCTCTCTCTCATTCTCACTTTCAGCCAGCACCATTTCATGTGAGAGGGGGTTTATTCTTTTGAATCTGAGTGCGAGGAAGGTGACCCAGGACAGGATAAATGGGAGGAAAACATACATATTCTTAATTCCGCCGCCATTCTCTCTGGTGGAATAAAATTGTCTTGGTTTAGATAGAACGACAGAGGAGACAAAGCTACTAGGAGACCATGCAAGGTTCGACACTCCCGCGTTTTTCAGCATTCGTGGGGGGGGGGGGGTGACGGCTTAAAACCGATCGCTGGAGATACTGCCGTCGCCGTAAGAGTTTCCAAATTCCGGGCGAGCCCGTCTTTCCACAACCAGGCACGAAGGCCCAAGCCAGAGAGGGCGACGCCTCTGTTGCCTTCCTGCCCGACAAGGACCCGCGGCGGCCTGACCCTCGCAAGCCGATTCTGCACCTTCCTCTCGCCCT